ATGATTTTAAGGTCTTTGTATACATTGTGTGGTTCCAGAAAATTTCCATACTCACCCAAGGAAGGTCATTGGAAATTCCAAGGGGGAAGGGGGTCTCAAAAGCCAATGCATGAGTGATAAACACTATCAAAGCGTCATGTTTGCTATTAAAGGGAAGACGTCATCAATTAATTAATTTCCACCAATCAGCATTTCGCGTCGATTTTTTAGCGCGGATATTCAAAACTCTGAGACATCCAGGCAATCTCTCCTTCTTCTCCCCACCCCCCAACCCCCCAAAAACCCGCAGGCTAGAAAAATACAAAATAAAGAGATGGGGATGGCTCGGCCATACTCTATGGAAACTATCTTGTAGAAATTTAATATATCCGACAAGTCCTGAAGTGGAACCCCAAGGCCAGACGAAGAAAGAAAGGCTTCAGAACATCTGGCGGTGCGAGCTTGCAAAGGACAGAAGACTGGACAGTCCTGGAAGCAGCTTGAGAAGATGGCCCAGGACAGAAGACGCTGGAGAGCTTCCGTTGCCGCATTGTATCTTTAATAATATAATCTACTCTAATGTACGTATAGAATCTACTCTAATGTTCGTATCTACGTATTAACTGTAATTTAATATGGAAAATGGATTTACCCGGGAATAAATAAACCTGTGGATCTTGCACAGATTTATAAAGAAGATCTGTGAAAAAAAAATTCGTGCAGAGCTTGCTCTCCTAAAAAAAAAAATCCTGCAGACAACTCAGGCTGGAAAAAAATATCATGCACTGGAATTTTTTTACCCCCCCCCTCCCGGGATATCTAATGGTCCGCCCCTAAACCACAGAGTGTCAGAAACATAGCTTATTGATAACAACGTGATAATGTATGGAAACATAATTCAAGCCCATGAAAGACCGATAAACATCTGGTCGATCACTGTTGACATAGCAGGGTAATTCGTTTCCGGAGTGACTGAGAGCCTGAAATTATTCTGAACCACTTAAGGTAGTACAATTGGGTGAGTCGTAAAATATAAAGTTGCCTTCGTTTTCAGCCAGCTGGTAGATAAAACATTATTATGATCAATTCCTAAAGATAAGAGTCCACCGTTTGCGGGTTTTGGAGAAAGCGGAGATTGAATTTCGTTGTCTGGGGCGCCATTTTAAGACGCCATCTTGGATTTGCAGACGTAAGTATCGAACGGTGGAAGCTAAGAACATGCGCTCTGGTATTTTGTTCACGGGAGTCTCGCACAACATTCCAGATTATTTTTCGTGTGTGCTCATGTTGATCAGGCTGGTAAGTACAAGGCTCAAGATGGCGGATCAATTTGCAGAGAAATCGCGATGAAAAACCGGCTGAATTCGTCGAATTCGGCGTTTTTTTCACTTACATGTGATAAAATTTAACAAATTGCCGCTAAGAAAAACTCAATGCTGACGAAATTTGGCACAGCTTTTGTCCACATGTTAAGTAATCTTCCTGCATTTAGCCGCAAAAAAACATTCAATTTGAATAAAATTAAGGGAGACATGTCCTTGATTTTAATGCCTGTTAATAATTAACACAGAATTTGCTGTTTCACTGCGGCTAACTCATATTTCATGTATTTTCTTCATAACTGTTTATAAAACAAAAATTATGACTACTAATTAAAACATAACCCTAAAAATTAGAAAAAACTGATTTTTACACCGCTTGCGAGGTAATCAATTTCACACATTCCCGTTACGAAAATGAAAATGTCGATTTCAGAATCTGTTTCTCTGATAAAAATGACTTAACAACTTCTTCTATGGAATTTGAAATGGATTTGAAACAGTTCTCAAAAAGGGTCCTTTTTCGGAGCATTTTAGCCAGTTGTACTACCTTAACTTCACCATCGAAAGACAACATCATTAACTTATAAAACAAACTAATTGTACCAAAAATGACTTGTGAATGAATAATAAAAACCCAATACCTTATTAATTATTAACAGGATACTTGAAATTTAATACCAACCCCGCTAACTCAAACTTTTTTTGTTTCCCTTGGGAGTTTGCTATTGTCCTCCACAATTTGTTTTTGACAGAATATGCTAAGTTTGGCTGATAAACTAGGCACATGCAAAAATGGGTAAAATCTTAGCTGGATGAAAACATATAGCTCTGTGCAAGAATTAAGTACAGCGATTTCATCAGAAGTTGCACACAAATGATATACATGTACATGTAGCAACTAAAATAATATCCAAGACAGTGCCACAGCATGGATCAAAATAGTTTTTCAAGCCAGAGTAAACCCAGCACCAAAACCCAGCTCAAAACTGTCCAGCAACAAAATACACAGAGTCAACATAATTTTTATCCCAATGTCAAGCAAAATACAGTAATTTTGAAGCTACAACTACATGTAGCATGGCATCTAACAACGCTGAATGGTCCAGACAAAATCAAACAGCAAAACAACTCTGAACCCATGCAGTGACAAAAATAATTTTGAACCCAATTTTACTCTGAACATTCAGCAACAAAAACAATTTTGAACCCAGTGACAAATCGATTTATTTTAGAACAGTCAAGCTACAGGAGACTCGTGAACAAACAGTATGCGGGAAGTTGTCACATTTGAACCTAGTTATATGTCCAAAGCTCCAACGAGTCTCCTGTTGCTCAGTGATAGAGCGTCCGACCGGTGTGCGGAAGGTCATAGGTTTGTCTCCTGTTGGGAGAACTCGGAATTCTTTGTCAGAGTAGCTTGTGTCACTGACTATATTTTGCCTAAACCTTGCGTAAATGTGCTACGCCAAAGGATTACGCTAAAAGGATCAGACACTCATTTCAGTTTTATCGTCCTTTCAGCCGAGATGGGCCGACTGGCCAATAGGTATGAATTCCCAGCTTTACCAACAACAAGCGACTCGACTGTTGGTAATTACAGCAGCAGTAGCAGTTTTGTGATAGATCATGCTTCAGATGCGGAGTTGAGACAGAGACATGTACATCAACAGCGTGGGCCTGTTGGTAAGAATTATAGTTATTCCTAGAAAGACAATTTTTAGCTGAAAACGTATATTAGGGATGCATGCACACACATGACGTTTTTTTCTTAAAATAGATTATTATCATATAAACATGCGCTCTGATTGGTTGTGTAGTCGTTTTTATCCATATAACATGCGCTCTCATTGGATGTGTAGTCGTTTTGCTCGAGGCTATGTAACCGCGGTTATGACGTATCGTATTGCGGAATCGAGCGGCCTGGGTTTGAGCGCTGCCGGGGTCCTGTGTTGTGTTCTTGGGCAAGACACTTAATTCACACAGTGCCTCTCTCCACCCAGGAGTACAACTGGGTACCACCAACATAATGCTGGGGGTACCTACGATGGACTAGCATCCCATCAAGGGGGAGTAGCAATACCGGGATAAGCTCCGGCAGTGTGGCTTTTCCTTACCTTTACCAAAAGGCGTGAACGACAGCAACATGATAGTGAAGTGTCATAAAAATGTTTTAGCATTGTTTTTCTTTCGGCCTAGGTACATCAGATAGTACATTATCTTCCCTGCTTACTCATTAGCATTAAGTATTGGGTAGTGACCCCTGACGAGCCAAAACTCGAAAGGGTATGCCGCGCCATGAGAGCTAAGAGCAGCAGGGGGAGTGGTGGGTGGGGCGCTTCGTCTATCCTTGAGCAACGTTCGCAGCAACTGACACTCCTAATTAATTCTGTTTAGTTTATATAATGCTAAGTGACGTCACCAGTACTGTTGTACTGTTGTACTGGAAGCAAAGGAATGATTCAGTTGCAACATACCAAGTTTTATACGACGCTTTTGTGTTATCCATTAGTCAACCGTAGAGATTTGGCGGAAGCATATTGTTGCGAGCTCAGCAAGAATGGTTTGTAAAGTTTTACCAGTACATTGTACTCCTATGTTCCAGTCAGAGGGGGGCATACCCAAAGAAAATAGAGATGGGAATGAAGCCGTGATCCAACACACAAAAAATACTTATCCCAAAGAAATTATTCAAATATTTTAAACCCGAAAATAGCCCACATCAATCATATCTCTTAGAACACGATTCATTTTGTGGGTGTGGTTCAAATTTATTTTCATCCCTAAGAGGTACTAATTCTAAAACAAAACTAGTTCCTATCATATATCTTTACTACTAAATACTTTTTACCTTTTACCTTTTACCTTTTACCTTTTACCTTTTACCTTTTACCTTTTACCTTTTACCAACCTTTCAAAATTACCTTTGACTGTAGGAATTTGATCTTGGTGGATTTCATCACTCAAGCTTCAAAAATGAAAGGGAACCATGTTAAATACCCCAAATAATTTTCATACAATGGTCCTGTAGTTTTTGTAAAAAATTAATATTTTTCTCTTTTTGGTGATAGCATTGCCTACAACGTAAAGACTATTTTTTTAATTTTCCTTTGCAAAACACTGCTACTTTTGGTGGCAAATTTACCCTTTTGTATCAAAGTGGTGTCAATAATCCCGAAAGGTATTGTGGGTAGTTTTAAGTTCAAGGTTCCTTGACTTCAGCATTTCAGGGAAATCTGAGAAAATGGCACGAGACGCCATGGATGTATGCTTGCGAGTGCTAAAGAAAGCAACAAAGTAGGTTCGACAGCTACAGTGTCAGGAACGTACCTTGCTGATCATATCCCAGATTACCTTTCGGGATTGTCGCGTGCGCTTTTTTCCGACAACCTTTCTCGAAACAGCTGTATACAGTTGAAATTCTCTACAACGAACGGCCACCCTGGGGCAGAATTAACTGGCCGTTGTGGAGAGGTGGCCGTTGTAGGGAGGTTTCAACAAGAGTAACGTGTATGGATCGGCACACGGTGGGACGAAAAATCCTAACTGTTGTAGAGAGAGCTGAGGTACTGGCCGTTAGCAGAGCAGGGGAGGTTCGATTCTAAGTAATCTTTTCCTTGGTAAATGTTAAGCTTGGTAGAAACACGATGAGAAAATATTATTATTCAGCAATCACACAAGCTACTCGGAAAAATAATTCCAAGTTCACCAACAGGAGTCGAACCTATGACCTTACGCAAACTGATCGGACGCTCTACCACTGAGCTACAGGAGACTCGTGAACAAACAGTATGCGGGAAGATGTCACATTTGAACCTAGTTATATGTCCAAAGCTCCAACGAGTCTCCTGTTGCTCAGTGGTAGAGCGTCCGACCGGTGTGCGGAAGGTCATAGGTTTGTCTCCTGTTGGGAGAACTCGGAATCTTTGTCAGAGTAGCTTGTGTCACTGACTATATTTTGCCTAAGCCTTGCGTAAATGTGCTACGCCAAAGGATTACGCTAAAAGGATCAGATACTCATTTCAGTTTTATCGTCCTTTCAGCCGAGATGGGCCGACTGGCCAATAGGAATGAATTCCCAGCTTTACCAATAACAAGCGACTCGACTGTTGGTAATTACAGCAGCAGTAGCAGTTTGCAGTCTAGGCTGTCACTGTCGATCGAAAGTGACGACAAAAAAATATATAATATATTGAATCCCAAATATAGCTAAATATATAGGATTGAATAATGAGAAAGAAAGAAAGAGAAAAAGGAAAAAAAGGAAAAAGGACGTTTTTTAAAAAAGTAAAAAAGAGTTTAGGTGTATAATATATCCCTATCATTTTATAGGACAGCACAATTTGATATGTTTTCCGCATTGCAGAGGATGTCAGTTCAACCATTATATCAAAGAGGGACTTGCCATTTTCCCATTCTCAGGCCGATGCTAAAGTTAGGAAGCTCATGACTTCAGACGTTGCAGGTAATATGTGATCAAGGACAACATGTTTGACATGTTACAGCAGTTGTAGGGCATGCTGGGAAGTTTTTACCGGATATGCTCAATGTTTTGAAACACGCTTATAGAGCAAGAGGAACACCGGTCGAGACTGAGAAACAGTTGAAAATACAGGAATGTGAATTGAGAGAACTTTTTGCATGACCCATGTTGTCTGCATTTCCTAAATGAACAAAAACGTTTTGAGAGTAAACATAGGTTTTTATACTAGGGCGTGTTCTTACTAGAGCCATAAGTTTAAAGTGGTTTCCTCAAACAATTCTAAAATGGTTTCACTGTTTCATGGTTTCACCGTTGATCACCAGTAGTGGTAAAGCCGTGTGAAATTACATGTCCAGAGTCCAGATCGCTGTGTTTAATATCAGTGAGGACACACGTTTCAGTCGTCTCGTGAGGAAATAGTTCTCCAACAATTAGAAACCTCAGTTGGCTTGCCAAAACCTGCTTGGCTGAACTATGCTGTTAAAAGCGGCATCGGATGGTTGAACAAAATTATTTGCTGTTTTGGCAATTCTGAAAAGCTAATATTTAACTTTAATTTAATTTTAGTATTGCTGTGCGCATGATTAGTTTAGTACAAATCTTACCCATTATTATACCCTTAAAACTATAATATTTGTATATTTTTTATATGTTTATATATATTTTTTATCTTGAATGTTCTATATAGTGTCCCCAATTAGTTTTTTTTAGCTAAATACCATTGACACTTAAATAAAGTTATTCTATTCTATTCTAATAATGTGTTATCTATCTTTATGGGGTTTTTTATACTTCATTGTTGGGTAAAAACTCTCAGTGATACCGCTTTCATGTAATAAGTGGAAGTTAATCGGGTGATCTAATGCCATGTTCATTGACGCAACGCTTGTTGTGTGTGCACTTTTGTTTGCACTGTCACCCATCTTTGCAAACTGTTTGTTTTTGCTAGCTTGAAGAATTTTACCCGAAAATGCAAATATCTCAGTCTGCCAGTCAATCATAGCGGTCAACGTTAAAACCACTGTAATTTCGGGATGTTGATGGAAGTGATGACAAAATAGTTATTCCTCGCGAAGCGAGGCCGAAGGCCTCGCGTAGCGGGTTTATAATTCTGTCCCCCAAGAGCTCACGCGAGAGCAATTCTCGTGTGGCCTTTACGATCATAAATGTTTGTGGAGTTGGGGGATGTCATGACGTCACACGGCGCGCTCGTGGCCTAACTTTTAAATCTGATCTTCGGGAGTGAGGGCGTGAGTTCAAATCCTAAATTGTTTTTTTTTTTTGTTTTTTTTTTCCCCGGTTCGAATCCAGGCCGTTCTTTTAATAACATTGACTTCGACGTAATCTTTGTACACGTAAATGTAGAAACAGGAACGGCTGCTGAAGAATAACAATTTTTACTCCAAGTTTCAAGTTTATCGAACGAATTTATATACGGGTCATTTGTGAAAAAAACCCGGCTTTATTAAATCCGTTATCAACAACAGGAAAAGGAAAGACGACTCAGGAATGTCTCAAAGTACGATCAACATATGGCTTAGTTTTCATTGTAGACGTGAAGACTTGTGTCTGAAAATAATTCGCCGATCCGATATTGCGAAGAAGATTTTACCTACAAAAGCGAGGTGGTTTCAGATCATTCGGACGGAAAAGTGGGGAAAACAGTACAAGAGCGCTACAATTTATTACAGATGTCGGGAGACGAGCGAACTCCAATCGAAACCAAAATCCGGTAGCATAGCAAAAACACGGCGTTCGTCCGGCGATTCTCAGAAACCTTGCAGCGATTGTTGGAAACCTTGCAGATCAAATCGCAGCGTGCCCGTTACTAGGCAACAAAAGCTTCGCGAGGACCTGCGAGTCACGTATTACTAGTATATATTTAAATATTAAATACAAAGAATATCTAGGAATGAATAATGAGGAGAATCAAAGGCTACTATGAGCCAGCTCAGCAATTTAATTGATATTAATGACATTCATTGAATGCAGTTAGTTGTTGATGAAAAATGGGGATGGGCTTTGCCATGTTATTTGGGCAGGAGTTATTTGACACTTTCTGTGGTAACTGGTCAGCAGTCTTATATCGAGTCATATGTCACGCAACTCTTACGTTTTTGCAAAGACACAAATATATAAATAGACAGTGGAATCCCGATTTCTCAAACCCTGTATTTCTCAAAAAACCCAATAACACGAACCAAAAGTCATTTCCCTTGGATTTGTTTCACTGTAATTTTACTCCCGATACTGTATATATATTGGGCAACAGTCAGCCAGCAGCCCAAACTTAATAATACAAATCTGACATACCAAAACACAATAACTTTGAAATAATTATTGATTAGTATTATTTTAAAGTTCTAGTTTGACTCTGGTATTTATGCACCTGGGGAGGCTGGTCATATACGGGGCATTTGACCCCCATTGACGTCCCCACCCTCTGGAATTTGAGTTAGAGTCTTGATATAATCAATGATTCATAACACAACCATACTTACAAGGATATAATTTTCCCAAGGTGGGGAGTTTGATCTGATTTGAAACGCAAAGTGCAAGCAGAACAATCAAAATGTTCAAATTCGTCTTTGTGCTTCATGTTTACATGATGTATATGAACTCTTGCACTTGTGCGCCAAGTAAAAACCAGGGCTTTAGATGTGAAGGTGCATCCATATAGGCTTCTTAGTACAAATATTACGGACAGTTCATAAGTATGTGAAACAGAGGTAATGAATGTTTTGTGTTTATAGACTGATTTAGATAAAATTGGACTTTATTTATACAATATAACTATAGCAGAAAAATTCATCAGAGAAATTTGAAATAATATGCGCTATCAGTTATAAACACAAGCCTCAGCTGAAGCCTGCTTTTCTGCACGGAAACTATGAACAAACTTAGGTCTGCACAATAAATAAGCTACAATAACAGGCAAAAAGGTTTTGCGGCCAAAATATTTATTCAAATAAACACTTTATTTGTTTTCGGTTCAAAGCTATCGATCGATCGATCGATCGAATTGTACCCGATTGTACACCTTCGTATGCCAAATTACAAAAGTTTAAATTAAAAAGTTTAATATTATTTTTATTGGAATCAAACGATCAGTTGAACAATAATTTTTGTTATAAAGCAAATAACATCTAGACATAACAATTAACGGCCGTCCTGTGGTGTCAGTTTTCCTTTCCTATTAGTCTTGAAAATCCATTTGAAGTGCCAAAGTTCAATTAAACGCTTCAATGTCCCGGCTCTTTTTCGGCGGTCGAGCAATTTAGTTTACCTAAAATATGCCCTGCTGGAACCGTTCTGTTATTCCCGGTGTTTTTGAAGTTGTATAAACCATTTGATTCATCGGTCGGGCATGGGTCCAAATATTTGTTGTCAGATGTGCTTCGATATAGAAACTACAGATGTCAGTTCGTGAAAGAAATAATTTCAATACTCCAGTAGCATTTCTCAAACCGAGGAACCCAGGAATCGCAGAATTTATCTGTTTGGTGGCATCGGAACTCCAAAAAGGTCTATCTTTTAAATGTGTAAGCCGAGAGAAATACCATCCTGAAAATAGAAACCACCATTTTGTTTTGCTATGCGGTGGGGCTACTACCCCCGACCCCTAATGCCTACCAAATATTGCGCCCGCAATATTTTTTTAGTGTTGTGATTTCCCAGGCCTTATGCACTGGTCAGCGGAATTACCAAGAAAAGTTACAAACTAACAAATTTTTCCCACAATCCTGAAAGCTCATCAATCGCGCATGCACATTGCTGAGCTAAAAAGGAAGAAGGAAGTTTTTTTCTAAAAAGTGCAAAACAGTTTAGGTGTATATTATATCCCCATGTTTAATAGTAGAGCACTATTTGACATGTTTTTTCTCATTGGCAGAGGATGATACATCAAGAGAGACTTGCCTCCTCCTCTCAGTATTAAACTTCCAAAGCGGAGCGATCTTCCAAGGAAGTCAAAGAATTGGAGTGATGTCCATCTCCCAGTTGACATTCTGTTACTGACTGAGGATGCTTGTGAGTTCTTCGCATGTTATCATTACTTGAGGAATTCTTTTAAAAGTTATCACAACTCCCTGGGTTCTGTGTACTTTGGAGACATGGGTGATCAGGAGAATCCATTAAAGGTTGCTTTGATAATGAGATCCTCAGCTCTTCGTGGCTCTCTAATTGTTGTTAGAAACGCTGTGACCCAACTGAGGCCCAAGGCCACTTTTTTTGTTGGCTTCTGCAATGGTTTGAATCACGAGAAAACCAAGCTAGGAGATGTGGTTGTGTCTTCTATACTT